CTTCACGGGGCTTATTGCTTTTATAAAACGGTTATTCCATATACGTAGTAAGGTTTCACAAAATAAAACAGAGCAAATAAAGTGTAATGATATTAATAAAAACAGTATTCTTCCACCAAACAATGTAGCTCCTCAGAAACAGTTGTGGTTGCAACAAAGTGGTTGCCGAGCAACAGACAAACGTAAACAAAGGTGTATGTTACTTTGTAGAGTCATTTACAACAGCTTCGAACGCGGCTCAGCCAATCAGAATCAAGCACCGGAACTCTCTGTTTTATAATTTGCAAGAGATGTGAGGCATTTTGTGTGTGCAGTTCTTGGATTTGTGTGTAAAGTTTGGAAAAAAAGAGGCAAAGTTTTGAAAATGTGTGCAAGCAGTTGAAAAAAACTGTAAGCCTCTCCTATCACTCAAGACCTGGGGCCGGTTGCATAAACTGTTTAGATTAGTCTTAAAAAGTTAGTCACCTAATTTGTTTTCTTCAAGACTGGTCATAACTTTTTTAATTCAGTTATGAAAAGGTAGATTGTTCTTATTTGTATTGGAAAAGTAAGACTGATTACCCCTTGGCAACTGCTAGTTGGTCAAACTAGTTCTTAAGACACAGTCTTAACATGGTGGCTAAGTTTATGCAACTGGCCCCAGAGCAAACATTCACCGCTGGTAATGGCTCTCTGAAGGGTCCAATGTTGGCTTGTTTACTCTTTGGTCAGTCGCAGATGTTGTACAGCAGAGTACAATTCTTTAAAAAACATTAAAAATCTTACTGTTCAAAAACTTTTGACTGGTAGTGTAAATGTTTATCATTATGCTGATATTGTACATTTCAAGTCAAGTCACCTTTATTTATACAGCACTTTTAACAATACAGATTGTGTCAAAGCAGCTTTACAGTGTTAAATAGGAAAACTGTGTCAATAATGCAGAAGGACAATAGTAAACACTCAATGTTCAGTTAAAGGCAGTTCATCATTGAATTCAGTGATGTCTTCATCCAGCTCAGTTCAGTTTAAACAGTATCTGTGCAATCAGTGTGATACAAACACACTAAACGTATGAAAACGATCATGTTTCTCCGCTGGTCGTGACAGACACACTGCATGTTTCTCTGTGTCTACAGATTCTCATGAAATCTTACTCGGTTTTTATTCTAGATTTTACAACAAAGCTTATGTAAAGCTACTGTGAATAACAATATCAACAGTGCTCTTTTCTATGCCACACAAACATACGCTGATCACCGGCTCTACCATTCACAAGCTATTTTCTTCATTCGTTAAAAAATGATTCATTGTCATGAATACAACTACTAAGTTGTTGATAGTTATGTTTTTATTTGACCACCAAATGAAGCATAACCAGCGCCGGTGACGCATCAATATGCAATCATGTGAATGATGTGATCAAATCACTTCCAGGTCTGAATCTGAAGAGTTTGAGCTATTTATGTCATGCAGGAAAAATCAATAGCTTTCAGACGCATTTGACTGTCCATTGAGGCATGTGACACATCAGCGGACAGTCAACATCTCCATCTGGGTCAGTGAGGACTGATGAACCGTACACACACACACACACACACACACACACACACACACGCACACAACACACACACACACACACACACACACACACACCTCACCATCATCCGATAAAAACCAGCTCTCTGTAATCCTGGATCTTTCTGAAGCAGAAGAGTGTGAGAGACGCATTAACGCTCTCTGTGATCTGACCCGTCCACAAACACAAACTGACCTTTACTGTCCTGAACAACAGACCACGGCTGTAATTAGACAAGCGTTAACGAAGATATCAGACATCAGACTTTCTTCTCTACACAAATCAACAGGCTGTTTCTCATGAATGCGCTCATCTGACATCCGTTAACGTCACTCGCTTAACTCCTGGAAATAAAAATCTCATTCACATTCTCCGACGAGAAACTGATTTAATAACCATGTAGAAAGATCTCCACCAGCTCTGAGGATGTTCAGAGATCATTAAATCATGCCTGATCACCAGGTCAAGGCAGCTTTATTTCTATACGACACAGATTGTGTCAAACAGATAAACAAAACGATGAAAATCCAGATTCTGCACAGTAGTGCCATTATTCAGATCAAGTCAGTTCAGAGCTGGTTTGGTTCAGTTTAATATCAGCATCATCAGTTTTAAAACGATTTCAGAGCAGCTCTACTCTCTTAACACAAATTAATTTGTCATCTGGTAGAACTGGATCCAAGCGGACAGGTTGAGAGACACCCTCATCTCAAACACCATCAACAAAACCACACAAGATGAAAGACTAAGACATTGAGTGCGGCTTCGCTTGATTACCCTCAGTTTGTGTGTATCTAATGGTAATATTAATGTTTGAGTTGACGTTTACAGGGTACTATACAAAACCACTGGTGTAAACTATACTCTTCACTTGCAGAGCACATTCTGAGCACCAAAATAATTAAATAAAATTATGTAACGAAGATGACCTGTTTCAGTTCATTTGAGCAGTCTGGAGCGAGTTTGTGAACGTCATCATCATGCAATCAATGTCAAGGCAAACGAGCTGTGTGCCACTCCTTCATTAGACCAACAAACTAAAACACACCACTATATCTGCGCCGTTAAAGCAGACTGAGGCAGCGTGTTCAAACTCATGTCCAACACGCAAACGTCTTCGAGAATAAGCCTGAGGAGACGTTCATCTTCCTCAAACACGCCAGTCATCTTCATCACAGCTCATCGTTAAAGGCTGCTCGTTTGCTGTGATCGTTGTGTCACTATTATATCTGAGGAATCATTAGAGAATAACTCATAAGGGCCGGGAGAGTGGACTCCACCAAACACCTTAAACAAAACGCTTTAAAACACCGCTGGACTTCAATCATCTGCTGAGCATTCACAATATAAACCTTACTTACCAAACATGATTTAGTTAGAGTACTCTACTAGTTTTGAATTGGCCATCACTTGAGAAAGACGCTTTTGTCAGCTATATTAGCTGCTAATTTCATTCTTTTCAACATTTTGGAAAACTGAAGAAGTGACTGTGGAAAATCTCTCAGATGTTTTGTTTTAATCACAGGACTCAATAAAAACAATGACATTCAGGTGACTGGATGGTGAACGTGAATGATAATCAAGACAAATTATGATATCAGAGGTGGAACATGTTATTTTCATTTTTATTATTATTATATAGTATTTTATTAAGTTGCCTTGAAAAAGCTAACTTACTGATCTGCTATTTAAACTTATTATTATTATTATTCTTAAACAGCATCACAAAACTCGGGTCAGCTCTTCAGACTGCTCTGACTCTGGTTGCTATCTGTTTTCTAACTGATCCGACTTATGGTTTTTGTAAACCAGAGTATCAAAACCACCAAAAATCCCATAGACTTTCATTGACTTTTGTACAATGAGACGTACAGTGCATTTAAGCTGTATATATATATAGCAAAGCTAAAACAGCTAAAACCAGCCTAAGCTGATTGGCTGCTTTGGATGGTCTCCCAAGCTGGATTTAAAGTGGTTTTGACCACTCTTTTAGCCGGTCTGGCTGGTCTTAGCTGGTCAAGCTGGTCAAGCTGGGAGACCTGCTAAAAGACCAACCAACTTTACACCTAAGACTAGGCTGGTTTTAGCTGTTTTATAGTTGTTTTTTGTTGTTGGAAAAATGGAAATTATATCATTAATTACTCTCTCGTTCCAAACCAGTAAGACCTCTGTTCATCTTCAGAACACAAATTAAGATATTTCTGATGAAATCCGAGAGCTCTCTGACCCTGTGTTCTGAAGATGAACAGAGGTATTACGGGTTTAGAACAACATGAGGGTGAGTAATTAATGACAGAATTTTCATTTTTGGGTGAACTATCCCTTTTAAAGCATAAAACTGCTTCAAACGTAAAGACAAGGCATTTAAGCCAACTTCAAAGTTTGTTCGCAAACTTTAGGCTACTAATCTAGTTTTATTTAGAATGAGATGCATTGATGACTAACAGCAGGAAAATAGAGCAGAAAATAGAGTTCATTTGGATTTCAAGTTGACTTTAAAAATCTGGTCAGCCAGGCAGTGAATTCTGTGAAGTGGGAGAGGTTTATGTGTGTTTGCATATGTATGCATGTGTTTGTTTGTGTGTGTGTGTGTGTGTGTGTGTGTGTACCTGGTATTTATCACGTTATGAGGACCAAATGTCCCCACAAGGATAGTAATACTAGTAAATTTTGACCTTGTGGGGACATTTTTGAGGTCCCCATGAGGAAACAAGCTTATAAATCATACAGAATGAGTTTTTTTGAGAAAGTAATGACATTTTGTCGCCCTGCAGCTCAAACTAACCCTCACTCAAACAAACCTGTTGCCATTATTAGCTTGACAGCAGAACATACCACCCTATGCGCATCGCGTTTTAATATGTACTTATTAAACTCCGAAGACATTTTAATCCTCTGCTTCATGAGATATCTGAGGCTTCGCGTCAACACAAATATAACGACACAGATCGAGCCAACACATCTGTCGAAGCTGCTCGGATAAACGCCATGCCTTAGGTTTTATTTCATTTTATGTAGATTTATGAATGTTATGTGCCTGATATTATATTTATTTGGGATTACACTCATATTGTCGTTCACACAAGAAAAGGGACAAATGGTCTGATTTTCACGCCATTTTTTAACTTTCAGAGGTGAAATAAATAATGAGACTGGCCGTAAACACGGATCGAGTCTCGCGAAGCGAAGCGAATCAAATTAATTCTAATGACAGATTTGCTTTCCTCAACTCGAGGACAAACATGTATTCTGTATTATATAAAGCAATAACACTGACACCCAATTGCATGTGAGTTGAAAACACGGAGTGTCAAATGACATCTGTTCAAGTGAAACAAAAGCATAAACATGACTTTTATACGCAGCTTCTAACGCAAACAGCATCGATCCGCAGGAATAAACGCAGCCAGCAGTCTCAGCTCTTAATGAAAGAGTGCCTTACCTTCTCACAAATCCTGGAAATCGTTCTTGAGTTGTCTAGAAAGCATTAAAGCGGCGGCGGACGCGCGGTGTTCGCGTCTGGTCTGCGTCGCTCCGCCTGATCGCGCGTCACACCGCACTGATGTTGCGAGGCGGGACTCGGATGCAACGCGACCTGTTTGACAGCACGATGACATCCGATCCACGCGCTCCTCATTCATCCATCGAGCTGGAAAACACACGGATCCGCTGATCCACAGTCACAGCACACCGGGGCTAGTTGTCACACCTGCGCAGATGTACCTTTCCATATAGCCTGAGATATGTTGTCATGAAGTAAAAACATAAATAAACCCTTCTGGAAATGTGAACAATTCAAATATTTAAAAGATACACATGTATTATAAAAACATTACACACATATATATAGGTTGTTTTAATGTATTGGTATATATAAACTAAATATGTTGACATACATGGCTGCTACATATATGAATCTTAAAGATATTATTAACGTGTACAGGCCTATACATTTTACTATGGGGATTTTTTTATGTTGGCTAATACACATCTAATATCTTCACCTAGTCAGTGTGTGGAAAGTATTTATCACCTTATAGGTAACATTTATTGGCAATATCACTCTTGTTAAAGGGCAACATTTACTGCTATTTAGTATACTGTGTGGGATCAGTAAGATTTTTTATGTTTTTGTTTATTTTGTTTTTTTAAAGAAATAGGCTGTGTCTATTTGATTTGATTAATTTAGTAAAATATTATTGCGATTTAAAACAGCTGTTTTCTATGTTAATCTCTGTTAAACTGTAATGTATTCCTGTGATGCGCAGCTGTATTTTCAGCATCATTACTCCAGTCTTCAGTGTCACATGATCTTCAGAAATCATTCTAATATGCTGATTTATTATCAGAGCTGGAACTCTTGTGCTGCTTACTCATTTTTTGGGATCTGAGATACTTTTTTCAGGATTCTTTGATGAATAAAAAGTTAAAAGAACAGTGTTTATTCAAAATAGAAATGTTGTGCTACAATATACACTACTATTCAGAAGTTTGGGGTCAGTAAAGTTTTTCTTTCTTTTTTTTTTTCTTTTTTTAAAGAAATTAATACTTTTGTTCAGCAGGGATGTGTTAAATGGACAAAAAGTGATAGTAAAGACATACTGAAAAGATTTCTATTTTGAATAAACACTGTTCTTTTTAACTTTTTATTCATCAAAGAACCAAAGAAAAAAGTATCACAGGTTCCAAAAAATATGAAGCAGCAACAGTTTCAGCTCTGATAATAAATCAGCATATTAGAATGATTTCTGAAGATCGTGTGACACTGAAGACTGGAGTAATGATGCTGAAAATACAGCTGCGCATCACAGAAATACATTTTAAAGTATATTAAAATAGGAAAAAAATATTAGAATTTTTGATCAAATAAATACAGCTTTCATGAGCATAAGAGACTCCATTAAAAAACATAAAAAATCTTACTATTCCCAAACTTTTAAACGTCAGTCAGTGTGTCATATATTACATTTCCAAGAAACAAGATTCACAAATATTCACAAATAACCTGCTTGTTGTCTCTAGCAGTGCTTTTGTATGATTTCAGTCATCTATAGTTATTTCAGTCACTGTACATTTGTGAATTCTATTCTAAAGCTACATAATTGTTTTGTTACATGCATTCAGTCAAGAGTCACCAATGAAGGTAGATCTGAACTGAAACTGCGTTTACGGGACATGGGCATTTTTAATGTCAGGAGGGGGCAATCACAATCTATTACAGTAATGTTAGCCAAAACAATGGTGTGTGTGTGTGTGTGTGTGTATGTGTATGTGTATGTGTATGTGTGTGTGTGTGTGTGTGTGAGTGTGTGAGTGTGTGAGTGTGTGTGTGTGTGTGTGTGTGTGTGTGAGTGAGTGAGTGTGAGTGTGTGTGTGTGTGTGTGTGTGTGTGTGAGTGAGTGAGTGTGAGTGTGTGTGTGTGTGTGTGTGTGTGTGTGAGTGAGTGAGTGTGAGTGTGTGTGTGTGTGTGTGTGTGTGTGTGTAAGTGTGTGTGTGTGTGTGTGTTCTGTTTTACTGCCTCATGAACTGTTTTGTGGTTGTTTTTCCTGTTAAATGCTGCTGAAATCCATATAATCTTCAACAAAATAAATGTTTTTGTGGTCTAGACTATAGGCTTTGCGTCTATACAGAAAATGACTATGAAGCGAACCTGAGAAATATTCAAAGCATGAAACATGTGACCGCTAGCCCCGTCCCATCATGTCATACAGTACATTGATTCAGTATCGTTTATCAATATCAGTCCTTATATGACTCTGTAACTGAGGCCAAGCGGGTTCTGAATCAAATGGATTTTATTACATAAATGGCTGCTTTTTTCTCGAGCGGATAAACAGCCTTCCAGAAACCCGGTGATCATCTGGTGAATGGACTGAAAAGATGCCTTTTATTTTACTCGAGGCATTGTGAACAAAGAGAGACAGAAAGAGCTGAAACGGTACATTATGAGATCATTATGAGGCCTGAACCAAGATTACAGCGGACCTTCCATTAGCGTTATTAATGTAGTGACGAGGACACACACTGAACACATGAATCAGAGGATCATGAAGCGTTCGGAGTCTAGTCTGTCCCAAATCTCCATGAAGAGGAAGACTTCTCAAGTGAAGAAGGGGACTACAGTGCGGCTGAACTTTGCTCTGGTGCTGGTGAGAAGCCAGTCGTCGCAGGGGATAGTCCAGACAAAGTGTTTTATGATTCTGTAATGCTTAACTTGTTTCAAAGGCTGTGTGTGGTATAAACTCTTCTGATCAGCCAGGTTTAAAATAACCCAGTAATGATGCATGCAGATTATCAATTCATGCAGAAGCGATCGGGTGGATGTTTAGCAATGAACACAATAAAGACAGAACGCATGATCACAGAACATGATGAATGTTTGAGCAGCTTTCACACACTGTTCACTGAGTAATGTACTCACCAGCAGCAGCACGATTCTCCTAGACACACATGGGTCTGTCTGGAAAACAGCTTTTGATTTTTCAGATTTTTTTTATTTCAGATTTGTATTTCTCAGAATAAAGACAAGCTAAAACGGTGTCATTTACTCCACTCTCATTTCAAACGGTGACAGCACTGATTCTCTTACCTCTCGCCATTTATTATTCTCACAATTCATATGCGGTTGTGATTAATCATTAAAAGGACAGGACAGTTATTAATAGATGAATGGTGATCATTTATAGTTTAATGGGCTCTAGATGCATTCAGGTATCACATGTCCAGCATTCTGCATTAAAATACACAAGATTCTAGCAAAAACATCGCTGGAACAGAATGAAAGTTAGAAGTGAAATGTTAAAAACACTGACGGCTGGAACGTTCTGATTCTGAACATTCTGCCACTTCATCCTCACGCTGTATTGCTGGATCCTTTTCTTTTCCTAATTTAGCCTTTTTCTTTCCAAAACCTGAAGCTCCTGAAGTGTTTCTACAATCTCTTTTTAATGCGTTCACATCTGACTCATGAGATCAACACCTTTAGTTCAGTTGCACTGCAAACATCTACAGCATCATCCAACACAAACATCATTTGAGTTCTTAATTCATCCTCATCTCTTCATCATTCTTTTCAAGGGAATTCAGAAACAAATGAGTTTATGAAATGTGTCACTAAACCTGCAACCTTCATCAAAACTATGCCTCTTTTTTTCCAAATTTCCCTTATACCAAAAAGAAGTGTACTTCAAGTTTATTTTAAAGTATACTTAAGTACAGTTCAAGTATATTTTTAGTATACAAATATCAGTGTACTAGTAGTATACTTGTAAGTGTACTATTTCAATACACCTTGGGACTACATTGGCCCACTTTCTAGTATATAAAAGTATACTTTAAGTATAACAGTAGTAAACATTGAGTACACAACTAGTTTACATCCATGTTTTTAGCTTGTACTGCAACTATACTAAAAGTGAACTTATAGGTATACTGATAGTTTACTAATTAAATACTTGTAGCATTTTTAGTACACTTTGAAGTATAGTCTTAGTAAACTAATAGTTTAGTAGCTTTATACTGCAAGTATACTCGTACGTTTAAAGTGAACTTTACATCATACTTTAAGTATACTACT